GCATCAGCTGGAGGGGCAAAAGCTGGAGGGGCAAAAGCCACCGGGCTATCAGTGGCCTCAACATCCCCACCTGCTGGTCCAATATCTGACGTCAGAGTTTTTTTTTTAAAAATTGTAAATTGTTCCTTCGTCATAGCATTGCATATGAACGTTAGCTGAACGAAACAATGTCGTTTTACTTAATGTAGTTCATTGAATTAAAGATTTACCTGAGGCGTCGTCACTGGTGACTGAACCCTGAGAAAAAAACGACAAAAGAAGTTCAATTAAATGAGCAACAAAATTTTAATAATTTAAAAAAAAAAAAATTAAAAAAAACCGTGATACTCACTGTAGAAATCAGCCTCAGTTTGACTGTTTGATTACCCAGAGTCACGTGATGATCGTCTCTGGCAAGAACCCGTTGTCTCGCTGTGGACAAAAAAAACCAAGGTAATCAGAGAAGGGAAATCCCGCCCCAACCTGGTGTGACGGGATACTGCGTCGTCAGGAAGGACACACAGACCACGTCACTCATACAGTCTTCACTCTCTAACAACTGGTTTGTATCAGCTGATCACTCGTTTACCATCCAACCAATCACAACACGTTATATATTTTCCCCCGATGTTTCGATCAAAAACGTTTGATTTTATTTGAAAAAGATGCTGGAATAAAAAAGAAAGTTCAAACTCCGCCCTCCTTTGAAAGAGACTATTACGGAAAGATTCCCACTTCTTACACTAGATTTCGCTGTAACGATCTGAATTCTTTTGACACATTTGTCTCGTTTGATCTTCGATCCTCAGGACCGGACCGCGGTCCGGTCCACTCACCCTCGTCTGATTCGAAGAACACGGCCGCTCTCTGGGCTCCGTCTTCGGCTTCCACCCGGCATTCCCCGCCGCCGGACTTCTTCCTGCTCTGGAAGTAAATGTGGAGTTTGTTCTTGACGGTTTTGGTCACACTTGTCCCCCAGTCTCCCTCCACGATCACGGGCAGACACCCTGCTTCATCCATAGTCGTGTCCGTCTGAAAACACCCTCAACTGGTCGACAGAGAGAGGCGGAGAGTAAACAGAGTCGATTCTTTCACTTTCGTTTCTGCTGTAAAACACGCAGTAAAAAAAAAATCACCAGAGAGAAGTTCTTTTCATCGAGATTGTTCCATTTTCGACGATTTTATTTTGAAATTCTACTCATAATCGAATCATTTCAATAATTTTAAAAACTACCGAGTCGATTCGTCGTTTTATTTATATCGCAATGAACCCAAACTGAATTGTGATATCGCCCAAAACGTCATCTTAAATATCGAACCCCGATTAAATATCGAATATAATATACATTTTTTATCATTATTACAAAAATCATACTTAAGAAAGATTTATTTAAGTTTCGATTTCCTGTATCGTGGCTCAGCAGTATTGTGGTTTTATTATTATGACGTACGGCATTTTACGATATAAACTGTTTATAGACTTGAACAAATGTCCACACCTTGATAAAAAAAAAAAATATTTTTTTTAAATAATCAATGTTAAATTATTTTATTTTAAACCCTTAAAAGAGAAATAAAAATATGTTGAAATTAAATCTACAAAATAATAATAATAATTGTATATTGTGTGTGTGCATGGGGGGCGGGAGGGGTTTCAATTCAGCGTCATTGGCTTGAAAAACGTACGAGGCAACATCGCCCCCAGGTGGGCAAACCATTTATATTGATCGTGACCTGTTGCGCAGCAGTGACGTCATGAAAGAACGATAAGAGCGAATGGTCCCACAGAATCACTGACGTTTTATTGGTTCACAGGCTGTTTCAAATGACTGGGACACACAGGTCCCAACAGGACAGTGACGTCATTGTTATTGAGTCAGTGCGGACCTCGAACTGCTCCGTCCTCGGTGGTGTCGGGCGACAGCGCTGGTCAGAGCCACTAGACCTCAGCAGCAGGTTTGTCTTCACCTGTAGAGGGCACATCAGGAGGGACACGAGTCAGAATTGAAACTAATAAACCATTGAGTCATTAAAACTTTTTTTTTTTACTTTTTAAACTTTTTGACGATATCCGATATGCCGATATTGTCCAAACACACTACTGATACCGATATTCATTAGTACAAACCACTATACGAGTTGCTGGCAGCAGCATTCTGCATACAATTCCCTGATTATTAAAATAGATCAATTAAATGACGCTGCAATGCTGCCATCTAGTGACACGTAGCGGCTTAGCCACAAAACTAATTTTAGGGCACACATTTGGGGAAACGCAGACGTTGTGTTATGCGTTTTTTATTATTAACGGAGGAAAACGCGATAACGATTCATACAGATATTACATAATTATGCTAATATCGGGCCGATAATATCGGTTGGCCGTTATTATCAGACATTTTAATTATAAACAAGTAGAATTAGAAGAGGCAGACAAGCATGTGTGTGTGTGAATATACATACAGTCAGGTTTAGGTGTAGCAGGAGGAGGAGGTGGAGGAGCTGGTTTGACGCAGCTGTAGGACACCTCCAGGTACCTGGTCTGCTCCTTACAGTCGTACTCTCCGAACACCCGTTCAGTCACAGGGACCTCACACGAACGCTTGTTGCCACAGCTGCAGATTCAGAGGGAATGCAGAGTTAACGCGGACGCTAACAGAGGCAGCTGGTTCTTTGTCAGTTACCGGTCTGTCCTTACAGGTCCTCCACCACCATCTCAGACCAGGGGAAGGTGCAGAAGTTGTCGGGCCCATCGTCAGGGTAGCGTTTTCCTTCACCGCATCGAGTCCCCACGCCGACCTTGTACAGGATGTAGTCGAGATTTATCTTACTCCCGACCTCTGGGAGAGAGAGGGATGTCGCTCGTTTACTCCGTTACTCTATCGTTCAAAGTGAACTTGAAGCACACGGGGTGGTCCTCGACTTTCGTAACTCGATTTTCGCCCTACGTCACATACTGTACTACCTATGTCACTCACCTATGTTAACACAGAATGTAAACAAAGAAGTTTTTTGGGTACAATGTCGCAGGAGATGGTGACGTGATTGCGCAAACGCCGTAAGTCAAGGGCGACGTAAACCAAGAATCACCTGTGCTGTGACATTTAGTATTTTTCGGTCGATATTTCTTACCGCAGGACATCGTAGCTGTTTCGTTGTGGCAGGCGTACAGGACCTCTCCTTCTGTCAGAACACACACACAAAGTGTCGATCAGGCCCACGTTACGTTTTTACACGAGTCTCGTAATGAAGTAACAAGGCTACGATAAATAAGTGTTGACAAGGAACCAGCATATTTGCATCAAAAAAAATTTTTTTTTTGTCGTCATGTATGTTTAACGTGTCGTCGAACTCACCAACAGCGCGGGTGAAATACCAGGATGCAGCCAGAACTGGAAACACAACAGAAATTAAATAAAATAAAACATAACATATAAAGTAAAGTTCTGCTCAGAGACACATTGGCATCTATACCTGCCAAATCTAGCATTGAACCCACAACCCTCCAATCTTACGTCTCAAATCACAGGTTTAAACGTGAAAACTTTTTTCTCTAGCAGGTCCAGCGATCGGATTTACTCGACCAAAGGTCTGATACTCACGGCCAAAGGCAACCAGCCGGAGTGGGACCATGATGGCGATCTCGTAGCCTCCTGTCTTCTGTTCTCCACTCACGGTCCGTCTGAAAGTGAGAGTCGCTCCAAGGTGTCCAGGTTTTTATGCCGCATGTCCACGTCGCAGACATGCAGACGCCTGTCTCCACCACCCCNNNTGCCCAAAGCTGCCCCAGCCGAAGGCATGTTGCGGGGCCCTCCTCCTACCCCAGATGTGATGTACCTGTAAAACCCTGAGACGGTTCTGTAAAGCTGCAGGTTCCAGGACCTTGAACACTTGAAGTCACAGCTGCTTTGAATTTGTTTTCTGCTTATTTCTCATTAAGACGCTCGGGACTTGAAAGCGAGACATCTGGCCTGAGGGGAACTGGGGGTGGAAACTCAGAGGTCTACCTCTGACAAATGGGCTTTTTCTTTTTTTTTTTAGGATCACTTCAACCTCTGCCCCCTACAGACATAAACTACAACTGGAGTCTGCGTGACAACTCAATTAAAGAATGGACGGTGCTCAGAGTATTATCGTTTTGTTGGCAAGAATCTGGCGATACGATACGTATCACGATATGGGGGGGGCAACAATATATTACGATATATTGCATAGGTGTCAAACTCCAGGCCCCGGGGCCAAATGCGGCCCGCCAAAAAGTTGTTTTTTTTATTACACAGCAATGAACAATATTTGTAGCTTGAATAAATAATAATCAATTGCAGATACATGCATTAGTCTGTTATGGAGGAGCTACATTATATACCAGACTCTATTCTGTTTGTATCAAAGTCTGAATGACTTTTATTTTAAAATATTGCCAGATTATCGTCAAATAAATCCTTTTTTTGAATGAAGTAAATTCGAATCCCACTGCAGCCCGGTACCAAAGGACCTATGGACTGGTACTGGTCCGTGAACCGGGGGTTGGGGACCCCTGATCTATACAGTGTTCTGTTTAAAACTGGCTCTTCAACAGGAACTGTATTGTTGGTGAAAATTAGTTTGACACGCCTGATATATTGTGTTGATATATTGCGATAGTCAATATATTGAATTCTTTTTCACCGATGTAACTGCAGTCCAAGTGTGATCCTAGTCTCAGATTCCCAGTTATTAACATTGGAACTGTTGATGACTGAAGAGATCGATACGAGATCAGGAAATTAAATATCGAGGTATTTAGCGATATTTAAGTATTTTTTCTTTTCTCTGATGTAAAAAAAATGTGTTAAAACCCACCAGAGAAAAAAAAAAAGATGAAAAAGCCACACCATCAGCAGCCAGTTGAAGGAGTCCAGATGGCTGCACGAAGCTCATAAATACCAGAGAGAGAGAGAGAGAGAGAGAGAGAGAGAGACAGAGAGGGAGACAGAGAGGGAGACAGAGAGGGAGACAGAGAGGGAGCCCTGAGGTCAATGAAGCTCTCACAACACTCTGTCCAAACTCCAAACGAGGATCGCTGTGTTCGGCGTGACGTTGACGACCAATGACACGTTAATGAGAATAAGAACGCGTGAATGAACGTCTGTCGCGGAACTGTCTGAACCAGTTCACGTTTTGTCCCTGTGTTGACGCTAGACCTCAGACGGACGTGAGGTCTAAACGTGACGACAACCGAAAAGAAACCAGACTTAAATTAGGAATTAAAGTTTAAAAGTTCCGTTTGTTGGGGGAACAGGGAGAAACACAGCAGGAAAATATATTATTTTTAGCATTTTTTAAATTGTTGACAATATTCTGAAAAAAATTACGTTTATAATAACTGACCCCCCCTCCTTCCACCTTCCCGCCTCCGCTTCCCCAGGGGCAATACATCCTTGAACTTTGTTGGTACATACAGTCTTAATAAAATATATGTTTATTTATATGTATTTAGACATGTATAGAGTATACACGCACATATATAAATATATACACTACCGTTCAAAAGTTTGGGGTCACTTAGAAATTTCCTTATTTTTGAAAGAAAAGCACTGTTTTTTTCAATGAAGATAACTTTAAACTAATCAGAAATACACTTTATACATTGCTAATGTGGTAAATGACTATTCTAGCTGCAAATGTCTGGTTTTTGGTGCAATATCTACATTGGTGTATAGAGGCTCATTTCCAGCAACTATCACTCCAGTGTTCTAATGGTACAATGTGTTTGCTCATTGCATGAGAAGGCTAATGGATGATTAGAAAAACCCTTGTGCAATCATGTTAGCACAGCTGAAAACAGATTAGCTGGTTAGAGAAACTATAAAACTGACCTTCCTTTGAGCAGGTTGAGTATCTGGAGCATCACATTTGTGGGGTCGATTAAATGCTCAAAATGGCCAGAAAAAGAGGACTTTCATGTGAAACTCGACAGTCTATTCTTGTTCTTAGAAATGAAGGCTATTCCATGCGAGAAATTGCCAAAAAACTGAAGATTTCTTACAACGGTGTGTACTACTCCCTTCAGAGAACAGCACAAACAGGCTCTCCCCAGAGTAGAAAGAGAAGTGGGAGGCCCCGCTGCACAACTGAGTAAGAAGATAAGTACATTAGAGTCTCTAGTTTGAGAAATAGACGCCTCACAGGTCCTCAACTGGC